TTCACTGCCTGACCATGAAGAAGTTCGAATAGCAATCACCCTTCTGAAGAACAAACAAACGTCGGGGGCCGATGCATATCCGGTCAAGTTATTCAAACACGGCGGCGAAGAACTGATAAGGAGAACGCATCAGCTTCTTTGTAAAATATGGTCGGACGAAACCAGCCAAACGATGCATATCCGGCCAAGTTATTCAAACACGGCTGATAAGGAGAACGCATCAGCTTCTTTGTAAAATATGGTCGGACGAAACCAGCCCAACGATGCATATCCGGCCAAGTTATTCAAACACGGCGGCGAAGAACTGATAAGGAGAACGCATCAGCTTCTTTGTAAAATATGGTCGGACGAAACCAGCCCAACGATTGGAATTGAAGTGTGCTATGCCCAATCCACAAAAAAGGGGACTCCACAATCTGCTAACTAAAGAACACCGTCAAAAAACTGATTGGACCTTATCAGTGTGGCTTTAGGCCTGGAAAATTATCAACAGACCAGCTTTATACCGCTATGTTTTAATTTGGTATCTCTGCAAAATAATACGGCTGTGTAATTTAAGTTTGGGCAGTGCCAAAGCTCCATCAGGATCGGAAAGACCTCTCCAGAGCCGTTCAATACGAAACGARGTTTCAGACAAGGCGACTCCCTACCGTGCGACTTCCTCAATCTGTAATTGGAGAAAATAGTTCGAGCTGCAGAACCAAATCGAACAGGTACAATTATCTATGAAAGTGTACAGCTACTGGCGTTCGCCGGTGATATTGATATCATAGGCCTCAACACTCACGCCCTTAGTTTTGGTTTCTCCTGACTGAATAAGGAAATAAAGCACCAGGTCTGGTGGTGAACGAGGGTAAGACGAAATATCTCCTGTCATCAAACAAACAGTCGTCGCACTCGCGACTTGCCTCATACGTCACTGTTGGTGGTCATAACTTTGAATTCGTAGATAATTTGAACGTCTATCTTGGAACAAGTATCAACACCACCAACAATATCAGCCTGGAAATCCATCGCAGAATAACTCTTGCCAACAGATGCTACTTTGGACTAAGTAGATAATTGAGAAGAAAAGTCTTCTCGCGACGAACAAAAACCAAACCTTATAAGTCACTCATTATTCTCCCCCTGCTTTATGGTTCAGAGGCAAGGACGATAACAACAACTGATGAGTCGACGTTACGAGTTGTCGAAAGAAAAGTTGTGGGAAAAATTTATGATCCTTTGCGCATTGGCCACGGCGAATTTCACATTCGATGGAACGATGAGCTGTATGAGATATATGACGACATTGATATAGTTCATCGAATTAAAAAACAGCGGCTACGTTTGCTAGGTCATGTTGTCCGAATGGACGAAAACACTCCAGCTCTGAAAGTATTCGACGCTGTACCTGCCGGGGGAAGCAGAGGAAGAGGGAGACCTCCACTCCGTTGGGGACCAGGTGGAGAAATACCTGGCTACGCTATATCCAATTGGCGCCACGTAGCGAAGAGAAGAAACGATAGGCGCGCTGTTGTTTACAACAGTAAAGAAGAAAAACAAGAAAGTAGTTCGGTGTTGCAGTAATGAAACTATATGTTATTGTAACGAATGTTGAATCCATATTTAACAGTTTGGTATTATGCATTTTTGCTGACACCTGGAGAAACGTTAACGTCTTAGATACTTTTGCGAATTGGGAAGAACCAAGAACTTATTTCTTTGTTAGTTCTTGATTTGGCTTTCGGTTTGTTATAAAACCAAACTATAGCTTGTGTCATGTGTTAAATTAATACTATTTTGTGACGTTTGCTTAATGCTGCTTGCTCGTTTATGGTCATAAGGAATTTCTGACAATATTTTGACACTATGAGCTTAAAAGAATTTAGTATACTCTAATAGGTTTTTGTGCGCCTTCCTTTACAATTGTGTAAAAACCTACATAGAGTTTCAAGAGATTTCGAGGTTTGGTTGGCTGGCTTTGCTTCAAAATGCCTAATTACTTTGAATTTAATATTTTTTAGTACTTTCGCTTATTATGAATTGTATCTATTTGTCTGAGTGCCAAACGGTAGAAAAATTAAAATTTTGATAAATGAAACCGAAATTTTAAAATTTTTGTGTTGAATTCGAACACCAGGATTTTACTCAGCTGAAAAGCCAGGTAAAATTTTAACAACTTATAAATGTGAGAGGAAATGAATTTAAAAGAACTCCTGCATACATAATATGTTTGTTACATAATAGAATATTAATACGTCGTTATTGTATTATCTATCCCATTCAATATATATAAATGAAAATTTCTGTAATCTTCCTGCATTATTATTTAGTGGCTATTTACTTAACTTTAATTAATTAATTAAAAACAAGAAAAAACGTTAACTTCGTTTGCACCGAAGTTTTAATACAATCCTTCTTCTTGTTGCCGTATGCACCGCTTACGCGGTTTTAGCCGAGTATACAACACTCCGCCAGTCATTTTTCCTCTTAGCTGTTTGGGACCAACTGGAGATTAAAAGTGTAGCTAGGTCCTTCTACACCTGGTCTTTCCAACGGAGTGGAGGTTTTCTTCTACCCCTGCTTCCCCCGGCATGTATTGCTTCGAATACTTCTTTGGACGACATGAAATAGCTATTGTAGCCGCTGTCTCTTAGATGGCTGAACTGAAATGTCGTCGTATAGTTCGTAAAGCTCATCGAGTGCGGTATTCGCCGTTACTAATGCGCAAAGGACCATACATCTTCTTCAGAACTGTTCTTTCGAAAACTCGTAACGCCCACTCATCAGATGTTGTAGCACGGGAATAATGAGTGACTTGTACACTTTGGTGTTCGTTCGACGGGAGAGACTTTGCTTATCAAGTGCCTCCTCAGTCCGAAGTAGCACCTGTTCGCAAGAGTTCTTCTGCGTTAGATTTCGAAGTTGTCGTTGTTGTTTTTGGTGCTAATGCTGGCTCCAAATTGGTTGATCGCACTGTGAATATGTGGTCAATTGTTGTTCAAGTGTTCCCTCCATAATTTTARTATGCTCTGGACATCAGTGACTAGATCATCTCTAGAGAAGAATATGCTCTGATCTTAAAACCTTCTGTTAGTCAAGCTCTTCGTACTCACGCATTTCGGCCTGTCTTATTTTTTGTCCTCCGCTGTCCGCGGTCAAATTATTTTCATGATATTTACTTAATTAATACTTTCCGAAGAAATTGTGTAGATCCGATAACTATAGCATTTAGCTGCCATACAAAATGACTATTAAACCAATGCCTTTGAATGAAAAATTCTTTTACTTGGAATGGATTATTTTCCAAGACTTTACTTCAATTTCCGATCATATATGTAGTATACAGGTGCCATCCAAACTGAGAGATAAAAATCAGAATAAAAATCTTTTTATACCCTTTTATGTTATAAAAAATTCACCTCTGAATGGTGCTATAGCGTTGGTGCAACCGAAGTTATTTTACGTTTGAACTTTTATATTTATTATATTTAATATAACAAAGTATTTTCTTTCAATTCTAGTCATTTTACAAATGTGCTTGATTATTTATAAAAATGGAGTTATAGCAACTGCGTTTGTTTTGAATATCAAATCTTTACATTTCATTTGGCAAAGTGTAAAGTTAAATAGTTTCGCACATAGCCTTTGAAATAGAGATTTACTACAAATTATTTAAAATCAACGTGTTTCCAAAAGAGTTAAAATTGTCATATGAAATTGTTAAATGTTAGTTGCTACATTTATATTTCAATAAGTTTATGAATACATCTAAATTAAGTAGGCTGATAAAATGTTTTTCTCATCTTTACGTATTACAGTGTTTTTAAAATTCACCTAAACTAATCACTAAATTGGTAAAGTAATAGGCAAAAGAATCTAGAATTACTTATAATTTAAATCACAGCCTTTTGTAATAAATTTTTTACATACATAGGTCTCAAAAATAACATTATTACATATGACGTTAAATCTTACTATTTCCCACATAGTTGTCTTTATTCGAATTTATAACTTTAGTGTTTCTTAATTTAACCACAGAAATTATGGCTCTGAAACCTATTAGCCTGCTCAACTCCTAAAATATAATTATAGTATTTATTACGGAAGGTGTATGTTAAGTAACACTATATCTCGAAGATATTTTCTTTACCACTTATTTCAGATATAAACAACGGGGATTAAATTGCGTAATGTAGAAAACGAAAATAATTGAGTGACTTGAGCACAGAGAACGGATCTATTTTTTACTAGACACGACAACAAACACAAGGAAGGTTCGACGTCGAGAGGCTGCAATCACAACAGACAGCCGAACGATTTTCAACTCGGCTTGCACTCTTGCTCACGGCGGCTCACAGAAGGTTTCAAGACCGGARCATACTCTTGTAGAACCCCCAAAGGTGATCTAGTCACCGATGCCCAGAGCATATTAAAATTATGGAGGGAACACTTCTCCAGCCTGCTGAATGGTAGCGAACGCACAACCCCAGGAGAAGGCGAACGATGGAGCAGACGTTCCATTGCCCGACCAGGAAGAAGTGCGAATAGCAATTACCCGCCTGAAGAACAAAGCGGCGGGGGC